AGTAGTAGTAGTAGTAGTAGTGGTAGTAGTAGTAGTAGTAGTAGTAGTAGTAGTAGGTAGTAGTAGTAGTAGTAGTAGTAGTAGTAGTAGTAGTAGTAGTAGAAGTAGTAGTAGTAGTCGTAGTAGTAGTAGCAGCAGTAGTAGTAGTAGCAATAGTAGTGTAGTCTGGGTAGTAGTAGTAGTAGCAGTAGTAAGAGTAGTAGTAGTCGTCGTAATAGTCGTAGTAGTCGTAGTAGTCGTAGTTGTACAAGTATTAGTAGTAGTAGTAGTAGTAGTAGTAGTAGTAGTAGTAATAGTAGTAGTAGTAGTAGTAGTAGTAGTAGTAGTAGTGCTAGTAGTAGTAGTAGTAGTAGTAGTAGTAGTAGTAGTAGTAGTAGTAGTAGTAGTAATAGTAGTAGTAGTAGTAGTAGTGGTAGTAGTAGTAGTATTAGTAGTATTATTATTATTATTATTAGTAGTAGTAGTAGTAGTAGGAGTAGTAGTACTGATGTAGTCGTAGTAGTAGTCGTCGACGTAGTAGTAATCGTGATAGTGGTAGTTGTGGTGGTAGAAGTGGTAATCGCAATAGTTGCAACCCTAGAACTCGAAATTATCGACGTACTAAACATGGACGTATTCGAACTACTACTATAATGTACGCATGTAATACTAGCCGTAGTTGCAATCGTGAACAGAATGTCGGTCGTACCGGCAGTAGTAGTCGTCGTGGGGTGTTCGAAGAAGTAATAATCGAAGTGTCGTAGAAATCGTCGTAGTGACTCTACTAGTCGAGTAACAGAAATCGTGATACAATTGTTAGTAGGGCTGTCCGATGGTCTTGGTCTGCTAAGTGACAGGGTCGTGGTCGGGAACGCAAGCAAACAATGAACCCGATGCGAGCCAAAGTCGGGGAACGCTGCCTACTGCATCCGCATCGCTTAGCATATTGCTTGGTGTTGCTTGGCATTGCATGGCGTTGTTAAACATTGCGTGGCGTCGCTTCGCGTTGCGTGTGGCTGGCATTGCGTGGACAGCAAGCAACCACGACCAAGGAACCAACGAACCAAGACCGACTAACCAAGGGGCACCAAACCACCAATATCAAAGAACCGCGACCGAGGACGCAAGGAATAAAGACAGGGAGCAAGACAAACAAACCCGAGAAAGGCAGCAAGGAATCAAGACCCAGGAACCAAGACCAATGAGCCCGAAGAAGGCAACATCAAACCAAGACAAACAACAAAACAAAACTTTCCGAGGGACGGCACACTAAGAAAATAGTACCGAGGAGCCCTGGGAATCCTCTTGTGCGAGGAAGCAAGAGCAAGGAACCCCGGGGGGGGCATCGACGACAACGCCTCGCACCACTTCTGAGCACAAAATAAGTCAGCCACCCCAACGCAAAGCCTATTGGGGAAAAACAGAGAGCGTGAAAACATAATCCTTGGGATTCCCAATCATTCCTGGATAGAAATTCTGGGGGCGCCTGAAGATCAGTGACGAAACCAGACGAACATGAAGGAACCGGAGGAATCCTGCAGAATCCTGGGAGACCCACAAGAATCCTTGAGAATCCTGAAGAACTCCGTAGGTCTCGTTGCGAATCCCGAACGAAAAGTTCAACCCTGAGCAGTCCCGGTAAAAAACCTAAGTAATGCGGAGGAATCCGTGGGAACCCTGGAAAGTCCTGAGGAATCCTAGTGCTTACAAGGACATCTTGCAAATTCTGGAAATCTGGCGGAATCCGTGGGAGTCCTGATGAATCCGGAGGAATACTGAAGAGTCCCGAAGAGCCCTGAGGAGTCCGGAGGAATCATCTGGATTCCTGGGGGATCCTAATGGACCCTGAGGCATCCTGAAGAATACCAGGGGGTCCTGGAACATCTGGGGGGGATCCCAGGGAATCCAAGAGAACCCTCAAGAATCCTGAAACACTCCCCAGGAGAACTGAGGAATGTGAGAATCCATGGTGGTTCTCAAGGACTTCTGAACATATCAAGGAAATCGAAAAGCTTTAAGGGCCTCTAGGAATAATTTAGGCGTCGTAATCTGAATCTCGCCGTCGTCGAAGGAACAAGAGCAATAGAAACAAGGAGGACGAGGGAAGGCCCTGAGGGAGGTCGATCGGGGAAGGGGGGGAGGATCGATCCTCCTCCTCCCTCTGCTTTCCTCTTCCTCTTCCCTTCCTTCCTCTTCTCCTCTCCTCTCCCTTCCTCTCTCTCCCTCCACCCCCCCCCCCCCCCCTCCTCCTCCTCCTCCTCCCCTCCTCCCCCCCCCTCCCGCCCCCTCCCTCCCCCTCCTCCTCCGCCTCCGCCTCCGCCTCCTCCTCCTCCTCCTCCTCCTCCTCCTCCTCCTCCTCCTCCCTCTCTCCTCCCTCCTTGCCCCCAGGCGCTGCCGGGCGATCGCGGCTGCTGCTCCCCCAGCCGTCGGCGGGGCGGGGCCCCCCGGCCAATGGCGCGCAGACCGGGCGCTTCTGGCCGCTGGCTCGCAGGGGCGCGCGCGTGGCGGGAGAGCGCGCCCTGAGCAAGGCGGGCGGGGAGGGCGAGGGGTCAGGGGAGGAGGGCAGAAGGAGGGGCGGCGGCGGATCTCTGCGTGGAGGGCAGACGGACCACCCTCATGAGAAGCACCCTGCCGAGCGAAGCCGTTCAGGGAACGCCGGGGGCTGCGTAGAAACTGTGGTGTTGGGGGGTGGGGATTGTATTTTTCTTCTCAGGACTGCGGGTGCATGAGTCAGGCAGCCTCAACGCGAGAACAGTCGGAGCCCAAACATGCGCGGTGCAGCCACAGATCGGAGGAGGGGGGGGGGAGGAGGGGCTGTTCTGGACCAGTTTGTCGACCGCGAGGCTCATTCAGAGCATGCGCCTGAGAGAGACCGCAACCACCTAAGCACCAGCACCGAAGCCACATTGAAGACTTGGCCCTGAGCCTCCTCATCAGTGCAAGCCCCTCCTGAGGACGGGGGAGGGACACCGGTTCAGGAGTCGTCACCTCCAGCTTGCACAGCCCCAGCGGCCCCGTCGGGCTGGACAATGGCAAATGGGTGGACGACGACAGACTCGAGCTGGTGCGCATCGCGGACACGGGGTGGGGGAGGCGGGGGGAGGCGGAGGAGGGCAGGGAGGAAGACGCACGAGGACAGGACAAAACAGGGCTTACGAAGTTCGGTCAGATCAGCGAGACGCAAGCCTCATGCCTGTACGAACTGCTAGTCACGTTGGGATTATGAGATCGATCGCAGGAGGAGATGGAGGAGGAGGAGGAGGAGGAGCAGCAGCAGCAGCAGCAGCAGCAGGAGCAGGAGCAGGAGGAGGAGGAGCGGGCAGCCCAGATGAAACCCAATTTGTCTCAGCGATGCTGCAAGTACGCCCTCCCGTCACAAGTTTTCTCCTCGTCGGTACTTGCAAGCAGTCCTCGTCACCGCGCAAAGGCCCCCCCCGAAAAACGAGCGCCAACCGAGCCCACAGTTCAAGCGCGAGCACAGTTCTGGAAGCAAGCCGCCCACCTGCCTTCGGACTGTGAAGCGCGCAACATTGTGGGGTTTTGAAGATCAGAAGAGTGCCCAACTACTGTCACGCTTTGAAGCCAGACCGCCCTGCATCTACGCAACTGCTGCTCAATTCTGAACTTTTGGTCGTGCAAGAAAGGCTCAACACAAACCGCATATGGAATACGTACTGGCATCCATTGGTGCACCTGATGGGACTTGTTCAAACGAACGTGCACAATTCTAGAACTCCATGTTGCAAACAAGCGGCCTCCATCCGTGTAGCCGTTGGTATTTGTACAACGAGAACCACACTTAGAAACCAAGAAGCCCTCCATCCGTGCAGCTGTTGAATTTTGGAATGGCTGTGCGCGATGCTAAAACGATAAACACAGTTTGAAAATGAAGGGACCTCCATCCGTGTAGGCGATAGAGTCGCATTAAGACGAATCTGAGTTCCTCCTCCTCCTCCTGCTCCTCCTCCTCCTCCTCCTCCTCCTCCACCACCTCCACCTCCTCCTTCTTACCCCCCCTTGGCATAGTGAAACAAGTCCTCTACGGAACCGAGACAGAGTGGGGGGGCAGGGAACTGAAAGCCCTCGACAAGGCGCAGCCGCTGGAAAACGCCCCGAGACGAGAAGACCCCCAAGAACCGACAAACACTTCCTCCAGGAACCACTGACCCTGGTTCCTCCTCTACTGCACGCAAGAGTGACCCTAGGCAAGAATGACTTTTGGTGCGCGGTTTTAGGGGGCATCCGAGGAGAACAAAACAACGCAGTGCAAGCGCGCCAGCCAGTGCTGGCAGAACCCCTGCCGAAGATTGACAGAACACCTTTTAGCAACACGTGAAAGCTGCCAGGGGCACATCACGTGCCCACAGCACCGCATGCCGAGAGGACCCTTGTGGGGAAACGGATCGACGGCCAACATCAAACCAATGTATCCGGCAAGACGCACGCAGATTAGCGAAACCGGCTGGGGACTGGCCCGGCACGCTCGAAGGCCACATATCGAGTGAACCAGCGCAGATTTCCTCAGTCGACTTGTGTTTAGGGGGCGAAGGACGGGATAAAATAAACTTTTTCGCCGTCGGCGACGCCTGCCGCCTGGGCGGCTGCAAAGTTGATGTCCCTACGTGGCACCGTAGGGTTACAAGCGGTGCAGCCGCCTGGGGGGCAAGCGTCCTCGACGGTGGACAAAAACAGATTTCAACCGTAGAACCCCTCCCCCCACAGTGGGAACTAATTATCGTTTCGATGCCATCATTGAAAGACTGGGGTCCCAACAATAACGGAAAAGAGTCGTTCCTCCGCGACACCGGCCGAGCAACGACGACGACGACGACGACGACTATGACTACGATTGCGACTACGACTACGACGGCTTCTACGCTACTACTACTTACGCCTCAGGAGCGCTCTCACGGAAAATCGAAACTCAGAAACTCGATCCTCAGAAACTTCCCTTAGAAGCTTTATCCTCATAAGAAATGTTGAAGCTGAGAGCCCCCCGAGGAGCAGGAGGAGGATGAGGAGGAGGAGGAGCAGGTGGAGGAGAATGGACGAGTACTATTCCCCGCCGAGAGAAACGGGGGGGAGGGGGGAGGATCAAAGCTAAAGACCCCTTCAAGGTTAGACTGCTCTTCGGCTGCTAATGTCTGCGGGGCGTCGTCTCAACGCTCGAATCTGACTGCCCGCACCAAAAGGGCCACTCCGGCGACAAGCCACTCTTGCGCGTAGCCGACGCCTCCGCGTGCTCGCGCCCCCCCCGTCGGGCTCCGCCGGCCTGCGGGCGGCGTCGGCGCCGTGGGGCTCCTGGGCGCGCGTGTCTTCCGGCGCCGCACGCGCGACGGGGCCCGCGGGGCGCCGCGAGGCGAGAAGAGCAAGAGTGCGCGCCCAGAGGCCGGGCGGCTCGACAGAAGCCGAGGCGGCCAGATTCGGGGATCTCCTTCCCCCCAATCGGGCTTTGCCTTGAGGGGTGGTACTCTGTCTGCGAAGAAGCCGGTGGGTGCCGGGGCCCATTGGCGCCAGGGTTCCCAGGGGTGCCCAAGTCTTGTGTCCTTGCAGAAGGGTTCTGGGGATTTCTCCTGTTCAATTTCCTTCCGAAGCCTTGCACGCTGGTTGCCTGGTCTCGCATTCTTCGGCGTTCCCTGGGTATTCTGGGCCCCTTTCTAATGTCATGTAATGTGCAGTGCACTGCTCGGCGGCCAAGCAGTGCCCACCGCTCGCTCTGCACAGCACTGGAACATTGCATTCGAGACCATGGGGTGGCGGTCCTCTGCCGCCAGCGCCCGGCACCGTTGAGGCGCCCGTGCTCGTCTATGCACCCCAATAGACTGTGGCAGGCGGCTCCCAGGGGCCTGCACCTTCCACGTGCGTCACGCGCGGATGCGCCGCAGAGGGCGCACGCCCCTGATGGCGTGGCGCAGAGCATCGGTGGCCACATCGTCGGCCGCAGCTGCGCTGGGCTCAAGACTGCCATACGCAGCCGCCGTTACCACATGCGCCACTTCCGCCGCTGCGGGCGAGGCCAAAGCTGTGGGGCTGCTTTCCCTCCCCCCTCCTGCCCGCCCGGCCTCGCCTTGCATCGCGAGCTGCAGAGCGTGGCAGCAGAACGCGAAAAGCTGGCCGCGCGGCAACACCGCACGCCATGGACAACGCCGTTTACTCAACCAGACAGTGTGGTGACTCGTGGCGGACAGGATGGCCCGAGACGGCACGGCCATCTTGAAGTCCGCGACTTCCCCGAATGGGGCTCGCGCCAGGCTCACCCGTTTCCCAACCATCCTGTGGTGTGGTGCCGGGTCCTCATTTTGAATCTGCAGCGCCCCGCGTCACCTCCCAACGCCGCGCGTCGGACCTCCCGCTGCACTTCACAGTCGCTGCCGCCTCCCCTCCTTGCTTCTGGCCTCCACGCGCCTCCACGCGTCACTTTCGGCACACCCCTCGCAAGTTTCTTCGTGGCCCCTTCGAGAGCTCAACCGATTGCCCCCAGTGGCAAGGCCCGCATGCGTGCCCGCACCCATGTCGGTGCACCCATTGCCGGATGATGTGCTTCTTTTCTTGTTGCGGCCTCCAGGAACCGCTTCTGACCTCAAGACAATCAGAATGACCCCAGAACGAAGAACTGACCCCGGGAAAGGGGTCGAGACCTCTGGGGCCGCGACAGAAAGAACACATCGTCAAGTGCCTGCACTTTTGTCCTTAATTCTCCCCTGTTTTGACCTCCCGATACGGGAGAATGGTGCTCGTCCCCATGGCCGGATTCTCCCAGCGAGAACGCACCCTGGGATAGATCCAGGGAGTTGGCTGCGAGGAGGGCATCAATAAAAACCCAAAACAAGTTGTTCCCCCTCGGGCCCCAGGGCCGTCGAGCCAAGGATGAAGGGTTGGCGCCTGTGAAGGGGTCGAGAGTCGACAAGCTTCGGGGCCCATGTGCCGAACAGCTCGCGCCGCCAGATCTTCGGGACCTGCGCTCCTCTCAGGCAACCACATGTGATCCCCACTCCCTGCAGATCAGATCTCCAAAAAGCTGGCTGGGGTTCAGACTTCGAAGGGTGTCTGCAGCCAAGCGCATCCCAGCGGGGGCGCTCGACACCTCAGCGTCGATCGGCCCCGCAACGGGGCGCTGGGGGGCCGTCGCCCCCGCCGACAGACCCCGGGGCCCCGGGCCGACCCCGAGGTCGCGGGCCAGAGGGTTCCAAAGCGGGTTTTTGGGAAGGGTCTCCCAGGGGCTTCGCACTCCCTGTTTTGACGAGGTTCCGAAGCCCCTGCGGGGCTCTCTGTAAAACAGGGCTAGGATCGGGATAAATCGCTCCAGAGCGTTCCAGAGCGCTCTCAGAGCGTTCCGGAACGCTCTGGAGCGGCCGCGGCGCCCAATACATCCTCCAATCCCGCCGATTCTCAGAGATTTCGAGTTATCCCGATCCGATTTTGCCCCGATCTTCGCGTCGTTTTACTCTGGAACCCCCCCTCCTCAAAACCCCCCTCTGGACCCCCCCTCCGGGCGGGGCAACGCCGCGCGCCGAAAGCGCC